CTAACCGGGTTGGGTTGACTCGGATTTGAGTTAACGCACACAGAGCTGAAAACGCACACAGAGCGACACACCGAAGTCCGAGACCAAAGCAAGCAAAGAAAGTGTGACAATAACCAAGCCAAACCAAGAAGAGGAGATCATCAATATCTAGAGTAGAACCCAATCCCACCTATGAGACTTCTATTGATACACAACCCAATGCACTAAGGCAGTTGTTGATACGTATCGCCGATAGAAGAAACAATTGGAAAAAATGTTAGAGAGGAAACTAAACTGATAGTCAAGGTAAGACAGCCTCAAAACCATCTTCTTCTATAGGAAAAAGTCACACTTTAAATCAGCCCCAAGACAACTCCTCTCATAAGGCCAGGACACGAATGCAAACACACTAAAACATCCAAAGAGGAGAACAAGATTGAACCAAACGATCCTGGATAAGCAAATGTCCAAAACTAGAGCGACTATAGCCAAACGACAATTCAGAGACCAGAGCCGAGACCAAAGACATGAGAGGAAGTGGACCAGACGATCACACACAAGCACCTCGAGCAAACGAGACATGAACACGAACAAGCTTAATCCTATAACAGAACCAAGACATATCCAGCGCACTTCTGAGCTACGGAGAGCAAGCTCCGATCACCACAGTCGAGAAGGAGTAACAAAATCCGGCGAGATTTCAGATCGAAGTCAGAGAGGATAATCACTTACTGGACCTAGCCGGACCCATGCAAAGACGATAAGATACGACTCTTCAATTCCTCCGCACGAGACCAAGAATAAACTGAAATCCGCCATCAAGACCACTCCATAGCTATGAAGCACGGATACTTTGTTTTGGTGCCGTCTCCCGTACCGGAAACGTTCCGGAGACGGATACGGCTCGGAGACACGACCGAAACATCCACGAGATGTCTCTAACATGTTAGGGACATCGACAATTAACGGGGACAAAACTTTTCGAATTTAGAGACGTTTCTCAAACGTATTATGTTAAAAATTAGTGTTTCCATTGTTTGTTATATATATTAATTATTATTTTTAAGAAAAAAATGAAAATAAAATGTATAACATAAAAAAAATTATTATGAAATAGGATTTCAAATTTATTATAAATCTCATATATAATGGACATTCGTTTTTTCAAATAGTCTCGATTCTTGACTCTTTACAAGTCAACAAGGTTTACGTTACTCCGATCACCGTATGTTTTTCTATCTCTAATACATCTTTTTTTTGTAATTTAAGCTCTATTGACAACGTCAAAATAAATCTAATTCTTATATTGAGTGTTCTTT